AGATTCACAACACCTTCCATGTGTCACAGCTCCAGAAGTGTGTCACTGATGAGTCAGCAGTCGTTTCGCTGGACGACATCCAGGTGGATGAGAGCCTGAACTACATCGAGAGGCCTGTTGCCATCTTAGATAAGAAGACTAAGGTTCTTCAGAACAAGGAAGTGAAGTTGGTAAAGGTGCAATGGCAGCACCGCAGGGACTCCGAGTGGACCTAAGAGCTGGAGGACGAGATACGGGATCACTACCCGGAATTGTTTGGATCAGCAGACTTCGAGGAAGAATTCTAGTTCAAGTTGGGGAGACATGTAACACATGTTCCAGGTATTACTTAATTTATTTAAGATCTACGGTTTTGTTGTGTGGACTCGGTGAGTTGGGAGTCCAAGTTGTCGAGTAGAGGGCATTTCGACGATGCGGGATCTACTGTTTACTCGACGAGTAGGCGTTGTAATGATAAAACCCTAATTTTAGGGTTTTCACCCTATATAATCTCCTTAAGAGCCTTGAGTCTGACCTCCCATCAACCTCCAAACGCTAAGAACGTCTATGCTAACCCTAATCCCCATTCTCTTCCATTTTATGAGCTAGAGTGACCTTTGAAGCTTAAGAAGAAGGACATAATGAGAAGATCCAGCAAACCAAGCACCCATCCTTGAGCTTGATCATCTTGTGGACTGCTGTAAGTTTTCAAGACTCGATTTTTATCATAGAATATGGCTAGATCTTGAGTTTACTCTTCATTTCCTACCCTTCTTGTTGATGGCATGCATAGGATTCATAAAGTTTGCAACTTTATGAATCTCCAGAGCAAAATGGTCCCAAGGAGGGCTAGATCTGGCCTTTCATTAAGCAAGGACACCATGCAAGGGTTTTAGGGCATATTTCCCTCTTTTTGGCCATTTTAACCTAGGGACATGCATTGGACATGAATGTCCATAAAGCCTCCATCTTTTGAACTTTTAGAGGACAAGAAACCTTTCTGGAAAGGAGGGATTTCAGATCCCTAGGGATTTGGACCATATGGCACGGCTTTGGAGATTTCCAATCTTTGATAAGGGCTTTAGAGCATTTGGAACGGTTCTAAAGGGTTAAGTTGGAAAATTTATCCTTCTAGACACCTTAGAGCTTCAGATCTAAGCCCTGGAGTCCCTAGATTCGGTGTATTATCACAAAAGAAAACAGGAAGGGGGACTCAACGAGTTACTCTAGGAACTCGACGAGTTGGATCGGGTTTCCCCGCCTTCTGAATATCAAGTGAACTCATCGAGTTGATGAAACAACTCCGCGAGTTGGCTAGGGTTTGATCAGGTTGTCTAGACTCGGTAGGAACTCGACGAGTCGCTAGATGCACTCGATGATTTGAGGTCAACATGGATTGTTGACTTTGACTTTGACCAGGGCTGACCTTGAGGGTAATTCTGGGATTTTGACAAGTCTATCTTATGATGCTTACAGACAGTTGAGTTGGAGCAACACATGGGACATATATGGTTATAGCATTGTCAGTTTCAGCATTCGAGAGAGGTGATTCTTCTCACCATACCAATGGGTCTAAGGCACCAAGGCCGACCCATTTTATGTTATGTGGTACACCAATGTTTGTAGGGATATGTGGTATGATAGTTAGCTTCATGCTAAGTAGTATGCTAGTGATTGTATGTTATTGCATGGAAGACCCCAGGGGAACCTTTGGCAATTGGAAGTAAGACCATGTGGGGTAGCCCATGGCATTCCCAGGTAAACACCATGTGGGGTAGCCCATGACACAATGGTATAAGACCCTAGGAGGATCCCACGACATCCTTACAAGTTTATATATGTATATGTAGTATGTTAGACACTTCTGTGATATGATATGATAGGTTGATTATGTATGTTATTGCATGAAAGACCCCAGGGGGAGCCTGTGGCAGTTAGATATAAGACCATGTGGGGTAGCCCATGGCATTCCTAAGTAAAGAACATGTGGGGTAGCCCATGGCACGAAGGTATAAGAACCTAAGGGAGCCCAAGACATCCTTACAGGTTTATGTATGCATGGCTTATGTGGTATATGTAGATCTTATAGCTAATATAATATGTGTTACATGGATTGTGTGTGGGGTATGCTAACTAAGCATTAGGTTACAGGTTGTGGATTTGTTTTAGGTACATCAGATCTCAAGGGCAAGGGCAAGGCGTGATGGCGCGAAATGCACTCTCACACAGACGCTTTATGGGACACTTTGATATTTTAAATAAAAGTCGTAATTGATATGAGTTTGAAAACAATTATATATGGGATTTTGTAATTTATGGAAACGTGTTTGGATAATTAAAAATGAAAATTTTCCTTTGAAAAAATCGGGTCGTTATAGTGAGAACAATCTAAGACTAAAAACCCAACCTTTAAGTCTTTAATCCATTAATCCTTTAATCCTACTTCATCTACAAGCTAACAAGGGCTCCAAATGCCAATAAAAACAATTACTTTATGGACATGCATTCCCCAAGCACGTCCTAAACCCATCTTAGGTCAAGATAACAAGAAATGGCCCCAAACTCAAACAAGATTCATAATTTATAACCATACTCCAAATCCATAAGACCAAATCATAGAGAATGACTCATTAATCCATAAAGTTGCCAACTTTGTGGATCCCAAGCATGCAATCTATCATAAACATGCAAAAAGGAGCTTATAACTTAGATCTAACAATTTGTGCTCATAAAGTTTGGATCTTGGGCACATACAATGATCCAAAATGTGCACAAGATGATGATGATGCCTCTTTGCTGAACCAACACTCTAGAACATCTTCTTCTTCTTCTTCTAGCCACCAAAACACTAAAATGGATCCAAAATCACCAAGATGGATTAGGTTAGGGTTTTTCTGAGTTCGGGGAGGGTGGAGGTTGAGAAATAAACCCTAAAACCGAGTTAAGGGGGGGCTTAAATACGTGGGTAACCCTAAAACTTTATGGGCTTGGGCTACAACGATGCTCACTTCGTGAGCTCAATCCCGGATGGAATCTTCATGCGGCCCTCCTCGCGTCGTGAGCCTCCATGCCTCACATCGTGAGGACCCTTTTTGCTCTAAAACCCAACCTTTTAACCCTTTGAAACCTTAATACGAAGCCTCCAGGAAAACGGATGTTACAATTTGCATTTCATTTGAAGACTAATTATGAAAGCAAATAAGCATATTACTTCTCGATTCGTCAAAGAATTCTTGAATACCAAAACTAGAAAAGAGGTTACGTTCCATGTGAGAATTCAAGCTTGCAACATAGTTCCATAATCAACAAAGTTGAAATCTCAAATTAAAGTAAGTTTCTAGTCTAAATTTCATAATCTCACCATGAGGCGAGAATTCTGAATGGATCATATATTAGAATAGAATATAAACTAAGCATAACATCAAACTCGTATCATTGCTTGACACCATGAAACATGATCTAAAACCCTTAGGGTTTGAAAATGCCCAAGCCATCACATGAAAGCTAAACTCAAATCAAACACTTAAAATCTCACCATTAGTCATGAATTAACAAATAGGTCATAGATTTGAAAGAATATAAGCAATCCAATCACAAAATCAAGCTCGTATCATTGCTTGGAATTAGTAATTTGAATAAATGAACCCTAGAATTGAGAATATCCAAATTACCACCATTAGAACTAGAACTTGATTCAAACATCATGGAGTCTCACCATAAGCCAAAGGGTTGGCAAATGGATCATTAATTAAAGGAAATGTACCATCTAACCATAAGCTCATATTATTGCTTAAAGCATCAAATTCGGATTTGAGGATCTAGGGTATTGAATACCCACCAAATCACATCCAAACTTACAAATCTCCCAACTATTACTTAGTTGGAGCTTAAAGTGGATCAAGGAATGGAATCACATCGATTATTTCACAATAACAACCCAATTTAAGCATGAATTCGGATTTCACCATTGATGGTCAATGAAACTCTTCAAAACAAGGTTAGAGATTGGAGATGGATTAAGGAAAGGAACTACGACATAAGTCTCATATAAACATTACCAATAGAGCATGAAGTTCAGATTCTGAATCCAACAAAATCATAATTCAAATTTGGGGATAAAGAGGAAAAAGAACTACCTTTGATGCAATATCTTGGAAGGATTTTAGTAGAGATTCATCAAGCAACTCCAATTACCAAAACATCATGAATCTAGATGAAAAAATTGATCATGAAGGTGGAAGAGGGGTTGGGATTGACTGGAGAAGAAAGTGGGTGAAGTGAATGAGAAAAAGGAGGTTGAAACGTGTTTTTATTTTGTTCAGCAACCGAAACCGCAACGCAATCTCCCAATTGCTATTGCACGTGGCCACATTGTCAACTTTAGAAGTCATTATAATGTCACATAATATGGGTATGTTCAGCAACAGGCTTTTGAAAGCTTTTTGAAGCTTTTAGCTTTTAATTTTTCATAAAAATAGTCGAATTAAAAAAATAATAGTAAATAATAAATAAATAACTATGTTTAAAGGGCTTAAATGTTCTAGGTTGAACAAAAATGTTCAAACCCAAATGGCATTAAAAAAAAACTACTTTTAAAGGGTTTAAAGGTTCTAGTTTAAACAAAAATGCTCAAACCCAAATAACATTTAAAAGTAGGTTTAGAAGTTTTTAGCGTTTATATTTTATGTTATTTTACATCTTTCATGTATTTTCATTTAACACTTCTACACAAATAAAAATTACATCCTCTATTTACCAGCTTCTAGCTAGTTTAGCTAAACTTACGCTATAAAATTAAAAATGTCATTTGAAAATCTAATTTGCCAACTTAACAGAAGGTAAAAACCCATCTACTTTTTAAGCTAGTATCATTTATAAAAAAAATGAAGCCAACACATTATATAAAAATAGTAATATAACCATGATATCATTTAATTCAATTTTAAATCTTAAAGTAAATTACATTTTTGGTCATCCTATATAGTTTTTTTTTTTTTTTTTTTTTCGATTTTCATTGAAAATGTTGTGTAAAATAACCCATTTTTTATAACAAAGTGATTTAGTAGGTTGTAAGCTAACAAACACACTTTATATACCATAAAACTTCAAGTGTATTGCAAAATTATCTTCAAACGGAAGCATACCATCATCAAAACGGATCAAGGGCACAAGGGTAATTTCACAAACTATTGATGTGTGTGTGTGTGTGTTGTTTATGTAAATAGATCTTGAAGATCAAAAATATCAGCAAGAACACCAGCAGCGGTTGTATCATTGCCTGCTCCCGCACCTTGAATCACCAGTGGTTGTTCCTTGTAGCATCGACTGTAAATCTCCACCTACACAACACTTATTATATTTTTACTTAATTGACTCAATAGGAACAAAACATGACTTAATATGATAAGAAGATATATTGATACATGTTTCTTATTGACTTAATTCAGAAAGAACGACTTAATAGAAAAAAGTCAGAAAACTAACCACATTGTCACTTCCTCTCAATCTTCCCAAAGCCGATTCTTTTGGTAGCTCTTGAATTCCAACATTGCACCTATTTCACATTAAAATACAACTTACCCCCTCATTCATCAGTGTACATTGTCTTGTACACTGTCTGTCGAACAGTGTACACTGACATGACATGACATGACAGAACAGTGTTTGGCATGCATTGGACCACTCAGGACAAATGTCAATAAGAAAGTGGAACAAGGATTGGCTCTCGATTTCGTGTTTGTGCAAAAGACGTAAATGCCCTCATAGATAGACAGATAGATAGATACCTTGAGTTCTCAATGACACAAACGTAGCGCAAAACATTCCCATTTGAAGAAGCTTTCTTGATTCTCTCTTCAATATCATTATCCAACAATGGGAGGCCATTTGCTAAAAAGTCTTTGAGAGACATTGTTTTTGGCCTCATTTTATCGGGGTATAAACTTTCAATCTTTAAAAAGATGTAAAAAGATGCATAAATGTCACATTAATAACTCCAAAGAAACGTGAATGTGCTTATGACTTATGCAAGCAAGCACCTACCTTGATGCTATTCATATCCATATGGTGCCCAAGAAGTCGTGCAAGGATCAAACCCTGTTCAAATATGAAAAAGGGTATTTTGGTCATTTATCATAGTTTACATTCAAAGTTTTTTCACATATTTACAAACCAAACATTTATAGAGCAAAGGAATGGAAACGAACTCCATCCGTTTCTTGCCAACTAATATCAAGATGGACCTACTACACAAGGGTATTTTGGTCATTTAACACTATGAAGGGAGAAAACCGTGAATATTACAAAAAATTAAGTGGAGATAGAGATGAGATATAAAGTATAAACCTTTCTTGCAACGTCCATGCCACTGAGATCATCACGAGGATCTAAGAGTTAAAAGTTTACCATAAGTTTTTTTTTTTTTTTCATAATAAAAAATATGAAAAAAAATATATTAATAAATTTGACCTGGTTCAGTATAGCCAAGGGCTTGAGCAGCTTTAACAACTTCACTAAATGGCTTTCCATCTTCTACCTCACTCATTACATACCCCAATGTGCCTATTTTTAAGGGATAAAATAAAAACATATGTAACTACTATTTACAAAAGGGAAATATCCAGAAAAGTCCTAAAATTTTAATCTAATTTATGAAAAAGTCCCAAACTAATTTTTGTTTACAGAAAAGTACAGAATACCGGCTAAAACTTCGAAAATACCCTTTTTGGCCGGTTTCGAAGACTTAGCCGGTATTCTGTCCTTTTTCGTTAGTTTGCTTAAAATATTAGGACTTTTTTGAAAATTACCCGATAACCAAAATATTGTGACTTTTTTGAAAATTACTATGGAATTATTGGATATTATTATTAACAAATCATTTATAAACATAATTTTTTTCTTGGAAAGGGATCTTCCCTAACGAGGGTTTCCGGGCCAGCTTTCGCGCACCGACTAATCCCCCGCTGCAAACATAAAGCTTTGCTTCATGCCCTGGAGTCACTACAGGCGAACCTCCATGGTCACAAGGGCTGAGTGGTGCCAGGATTTGAACATAGGTCAATAGGTTATCCACCATATCTTCCACATGCCTTACCAAGTCACCATAATTTTTTATTATAAACAAAGGAAATACATTTGTTGCTAATTTATAGGAATAAAATGGTCGGTTATGTACTTCTCTATTGTTTGTTGACCACTTCAAAGTTTCTATGTTCTTTCTATGTATCGTTGTGGGTGTCATAGTGAAAAGTACTCTGTTAGGCGTGATCAATACAAAAGTTGATAATATTTATTAATACACAATCAATAAGTGTCTACTTGCTATTAGGCATGATGCTATATGATCACGTGTTATTAGAAAATAGCATTACACGAACATATAGATCTTTCATTATATTCTTTAACCTAACTATCACCTAACATCCAAACATCACCCGATAACAACCATAAAATTACACACATTTATCGAGAGTGAAAAGTAAATTATGAATGACAATTTAAATAGATAATCACCCTTCATTTTTTTTCCATATAAATTATCATTCACGGTTCACTTTTCACATTTTATAGATGTGTGTTAGCCGATAGTTGTTAACATGTAAAGTATGAATGTTGGTTAGTAGTTAGGTTAAACAACATAAGAGGAACACCAACATTAGAGGAATGCTAACTAAGTTCATCTCACCATCATACCCACAACAACGCATAGGAAGAACGTAGAAAGTTTGAGTGGTCAGGAAGCAATAGATTACTTAGACCACCAATTTATTCCTAGAAATTAGCAACAAATGTATTTCTTTTTTTATAATAAAAATATTTTTTATGTTTATAATTGATTTGTTAATAATAATATCCATTAATTTCATGGTAATTTTCAAAAAAATCCAAATATTTTGGTTATTATGTAATTTTTGGAAAAGTCCCAAAATTCTGAGCAAACTAATGAAAAAGAACAGAATACCAGCAAAATCTGCGAAACTAGCCGAAAAGGATTTTTTCGAAGTTTTAACCAGTATTCTGTGCTTTTCTGTAAATAAAATTTAGTTTGGGACTTTTTCATAAATTGGACTAAAATTTTAGGACTTTTCTGAAGATTTCCCTTTACTAAATAAATGTAATTTATTAACTTTTTTTATATTTTTATTACCACTCAAGCTTCCAATTATGCGATAAATAGTGTCTCCAGATGAAAGTATACGATTTAATGATGCTATAATAGGGAGTCCAGCACCAACCTGAAAGTAAATTTATCCCATAAATACACACTATAATAATAAAATCTGAAATATAAAAATTAAAAATAGCATTACTTACTGTTGATTCATGTCTAATGCGACGTGGTTGTAAGAATAAGTTATCAAATTCTTCCTGTAAAAAAACAAAGTTGAATATTTATTTGAATTGAAATCCATAAAGTTGAAAATTAATCTAAAGGGAAAATTGCAGGAAATGTACAATTTGCCCTTGTTTAATACCATTGAAGAAGTAAGAGGCTTCTTATTGGCTAACACAACACAGCATCCTAAATTTACTGCTTGTGTAATAGCTCCAATGGTTTCTGAACTTGCAGAGCAATCAACAAGGGTAAAAGCTACATGGAAATTCAAAGAAAGAACATTGAAAATCTGAATCTTATAAATTTGTAGTGAAAAGTGTGTAGTGATCAATTTACATTTACCTAAACGAGCAGCAATGTCTGTGAGTTTTTTTGTGGATTCGGGAGATGAAAAAGCTTCAGATTTACCTAAAGAATTAAGAAGAGAAGAAGAAGTGAAAGATGTTATGTGATTATTAGTGTATAAGTAATCATGTAAGATGGAATATGAAATGATACATAACTCCGATGCTGTGAAAATATCAATGGAATTACCAGATTCAACACATGTTTGAAGGGACAAGCCGTTTGATTTGATCTGGCAAATGTTCATCAAAACGGTATCGTTGAACTCCATAGATGAGACATCTGGTACAACAAGAAATGATTTGCTATCGAATATGCCCACAACTCGCAAGTGAATTCCCTGAAAAATGCAAATGATATTCTCAGGTATCTTAAGCCCTAGTATTGAAGAACAAATATGGTCCTAAATCCTAATTCATCTGCATTTTCAAAATTTTGGTATCATAAGAACCCAAATCAACTACAATTATCTATCATGTGTACAATCCAACTCAAAACCTAACGCAGGTAATCGTTGAAGACATATACAAATCGAAAACATTATCGACGAAGCTGAAGTTGTGGAGATGAAATTATTTCAGTGTTGTACCTTGTTTGCGTGTAGGGTTCGACAGGAGACGATGTGATGGAGGAGTTGTCTCCCAACGCCTCCGCAGCCCATAAGAATGATCGGAATATTCTTCATTTTCTCCTCGATTTCACGGTAGCCCTCCGCGTCGGACTGTGTTTTTGCTGCTTATGAGTTATGTGTGTATAGTTCCTTTCATTCGGTTTTTTTTTTTTTTTTTTTTTTTTTTTTTTTTTTTTTCACATTCAAACTTTGAAGTGTATTCAACTATTTTCTAATTTTACTATAAAGTTAAAGCACACATACTAAATTTTGATGTCCTTAATGTATAAGAAACGCTCGTGAACAAAAAAAACTATTGGAAAGTAATTCATGACACAAGTTTTCTAAAATAATCGTGTTGCTTTCAGATAATCAAGATAACAAGGTCATTAGGAAATCAAGCGATTTCAACATCTAAGAGAAGAACTTACAAATGCTTGAATAACAAAGGGTTCCAAATTCAATCCTAAACCAAATCAAACCAATAAGTGAGTTTTGAATATAACTAATTACATCAAAATCAAACGGTTTTTATGCTATATTCTAATTTAGAAATTGTAATTTCAAAATGAGAATGTAAAGTTTGAATGCATATGTATTGGGAGTTGGGACCAATAGGGCTGTAAATGAACCAAACGTTGGACAAACCATTCGTAGTTCGTTCGGTAAAATGTTCGTTTATGTTTGTTTATATAATAAACAAACAAACACAAACAAAATTTTATGTTTGTTTAGTTAAACAAACAAACATAAACAATGGTCTCGTTCGTTTATTTAAGTTCGTGAACGTTCGTTAATATTTGTTTAGTTAATATTTGTTAATATATATATATATATATATATATATATATATATATATATATATATATATATATATATATATATATATATATATAAAAGGTATACTAAAATTTAAATCCGTGTGAATCGTCAATCACAATCATATAGTAACATAGAATAACATATAATTCTTAACTATTAAATGCACAAACGATGAAAATTAGAAAAACAATGAAGGTTGGTAAAATTAGAAAAACATCTTAACAAACAAACAAAAACAAACACAAACAATGTAATTTTTAAACAAACAAACACAAACAAGAAAACATGTTTGTTTAAGCGTTCGTGTTCGTTTGTTAGTTAAATTAAACCTAAACAAACAAACATGAACAAGCCTTGTTCGTGTTTGTTTGGTTCGTTTACAGCCTTAGGGACCAAAAACCAGGGAAATGGTTTTTGATGATGCTACATAAGTTAGAACTTTACCCCGATTCTTATCACATTCGGCAAGTACTCCAAATCCTAACACATAATTTTTTAAAAAATACTCTTAAATATTGTTTAAAAATCAACATAAAATACATTCCTAAACAAAAGTTTCATATACCAACATAACTCAACATTATGGCTTAAATGATGGGATTTGATCTAAAGAACCAATAGTTGTTACCCACACAAGCCTCTCAACCAAACCCCTATAAGGATCCTCCTCCCTCTTCATTAACAAATAAGCCACATTCTTTTCAACCTCATATTTTATTTGCAAGTATAATTTCCTCAAATACTCTTTGTCATGTAACATATTTTCCTTTCCTTTTGTACATATAGGCTTCCCAAATAAATAGTAGAGTCGACCCGGTAGTTTGGGTGAAAGTATAGGAATATGAAGTGGTTGATTAGCTATCTCTCCAACCATCCCCTCTCTATCACCAAAACAATATGATACTCAAAATAAGAAATAAAACTAACACTAAGTAAATTCACCTCAAAGTAGACCGAAAAAACCAAGTAAACTCACCTCAAGTTAGTTTTCCCTTGATTTAAATCATTGAGCATTTGATTGATGAAAGGGATTCTCTTCATTTCATTATAATCAAGGATTATCTAGTAAAAAAAAGTAGATAAAAACGTTGAAAACTAGTTTATTTGATCAAAGTTGTATGAAGTTACATTGTATATAAGTTGTTACTTGTGATATGTCATCTTCCCCAACAACTCCAAATGGAACAATGGTGGCTCCAAACTTCACTGCCATTCTTACAAATTCTTGTTTTTCAGGCCAAAACAATTTCGCAGCTTCACCCTTTTAACCATAATATAAAGTTTTTAATTCACCATTTCAAAAAAAAAGTTGCTATTTCATGCATAAATTAATACCTTACGATGGAGAGCCTCACGTAGACCACCAGGGTAAAGTAGTGTATAAGATTTTGTTGCTAACAATTTAAAAAGATTTTTTCCAGAAACTGGAATTGCACCAAATTGCTTCAAAATATCGATAATTGGGATTATGAAATGTTGTTCATCAAGTTGAAACAATTGTGGGTGAGCTAAACCATAAAGCTTGGCTTTTTTTTCTCTCAAAAACTCGGAGATAATAGGAAAAATATCAAATCCACATAGCATGTGATTACCAACGATTAATACGGGTCCTTCATCTGGAATCCCTGCAAGACCTCTCACTATCTTTCCATCCTCCATTGTTGAGAACATTGCTGCACCCATGTAAACGCGATTCCACCTGTAGTGGATTGGATCGTAGCTTAATATTTGGTTAACCTCGTATGAATGAAAAATTCAAAGTGGGAAAACATAGTCTTCATTTGATGACAATTACAAGAGTATAATAATTAAGAAGATATGACAAATCAAATCTGTTAAATTACCGAGACTCCATTGGTGAGCTTTTGAACTCTCTCATGCTAGGAGGCAAAAAGTCGTTAACAACATCATGCTTAGAAAAACGGCGATACATCTGACTAGTCTTTATAGTGGACAGAAAATTAACACCATTCTCCTACACCAACGAAAAGGGACCCACATTAGTGTTTTATTTTGCCACGTGGACGCTAGGGAATGATCATGCAAACTTGTCAAAGTAGGATATCTTATTACCAATAGGATTGTGTGCCCATTTCCCTCAAACACACGTACGTTGCAGTGCTTCAAGAATCTTGAAAGCCTTTGGGCTTCGTTTTTACTTGGCACCAGGTTATCTTTGCCACTGAAATACAAATATCTTAGCAATATTATATTCCATAAGGCTAAATGAATTAAGAAATATCTACAAGCTCACATTTTTAAACCTGGGTGTTGTTTCTTTTTTACTTAATGACTTAATCCGTAAACTATGGGTGTTTGTGTTTCGTTTTTACTTATTGCAAAAAGAACGACTTAATATAGAAAGTTATGGAAAAGAGACTTTCCCCATTAAGCCGTGACTTTTTATAAATTTACCCTTATTAGCTAAAGAAGAAAGAAATTAACCTAGCAAGCATGAGTACTTGAGCTTTAATAGCATGGAGGCGGGAGTTAGCATAAGCAGCAGCTGATTCAACTAGCTTTAACCTCCATTTAAGAGTGTCTTGTGGTAATATTTTGGCCATTATCTATCATGAAAAAAAAGTATAAAAATGAGGGAAAAAAACACATTCCATATAGTAGATTGAACAAGCTAACAAAAATGAAAACTAAAACAATGACAAGAGCTAAAGAAGTAAGAGAAGGTGAGTCTTACAGAAAGAAGTGGTAGATCTTTGGTCAAATTGTAAAGATCTACCATTATCATCGATTCGTACCATTGCCACCTTTACAAAATCACCTGAAAAGAAAATGTTATCATGATTAAAAGAGAATATATATGCAAGAACAAAAACCCTAATGTTACATACAACTTATTAAATTGGAGAAAACCCTAATTCAAGCAATAACCTACCCAGAAGAGGGGGTATGACATAGGGTAGCATCCCATAATGTTCCTCAGGTAGAACTCTTAGGAGTGGCAATAAAGGGTGTACTTGTGATCTCTCAAATGAAGTTGCTGAAATGGTTAGAATATTCAAATTGAATAAGAAATACATGTATGAAACTGGATTTACTGAAAAAATAGGAAAAAAAAAAGAGAGACCTGGGTTTACTAATATGAGTATTAAGTCAATTGTAGGGTTACGAGCAGCGACTGAAAGTGCTAGGGTTCCTCCAAAAGATTCTCCAAGCAAATAAATCGGCTTATTTGGGGACAAATTATGTTCAATCTTCACAGTTTCTTCCACAATTTGAATCAAACCTTCATGCAAAGCAAGTTTATATAGCTAGCTAGTATATAAAATGGACTAACTTCATGAAGTTATGAGCAATATAAACACTAAAAAAGATGCTAAACCTTCAAGTGGTGTTCGATCATGAACAGGAATATGCAAGCATTGAACATGAAAAACCCTGTTATCAAAGTTGAAAAAAAAAAAAAAACAATTGTAAAGTTGATGCATGTAACAAATAGTAATCGATTTCTTCAAGAAACTTGCTTTACTCACTTTCCAAGAGCTTTCTCATGTACAACAAGTCCAGTTCCAGTTCCATCTATCCCTAAAGACATTAAATTTTAAACACACAATTATAAGCATAGAAGTTTTTTTTTTTTTTTTTTTTTTTTTTTTTTTGTGTAGCTATCAAATACTACAAATTACCAGGAATATATAAAAGAATAGGCGAATCTTTTAGAGGTATGCCACATGCAATGGGGCAAAACCATCGAGGAGGTCCTCCATCATTCTTAATCAAATCCATGGCTATATAGGCGTAATCCTTTGCACTTTGTGTCCCATATCCATCATCCCACAAAGGTTCCAATTCTTCTAGAACATTCTGTATACTCGTTTTTCCTTTATGATCCCCAGTATCATTCTTGTTAACAGATGAAGCTCCATTGATGCTAACTGAAGCCGATGATACCTCACTACTTACACTCCTAACAAGAACATGAGAACGCAGACTAAGGTTTTTGTTTGGAGTGAAAAGGGGTGATAGTGGAACAGTGGAAGTGTTCATAAGTAATGCGATGGAAGATTTCATAGGGAAAAGGAAAACTGCTTCAAGAATCAAAACCGAGACTTTGCTCTATGATTTAAAGAATTTTAGGAATATCATATCTTGATTGTTGTTATCCTAAGTGGAAGCTTCGTATGTATGTAAAATTCTAAACTCAGTAAATGAAAACAAAAGAAAAGGGTGCAAGTTACGTATTGAAACTGAACTCAGAAAACCAAATGAAATGTGTGTTTCATGTATCATTCCATATGAATGACATAGAGATACAAGATCATGTATGTAGGTGGGAAAAAAGTACGATAAGAATCCAAAACTGGAAATCGGGTAATGAAAAACAAAACCTACATAAATGATATCAAGTTCAAGCCGAATTAAAATTAGGTAGGACGTTTATATCGAATTTTAATTTAGTTTGCACTTTTCAACTCCATATATTGAAAACCAAAATCAATATAGATTTGATCGAACAGATTGCATTTAAACATTTAACCGATCCATTTAAACAAACACTCCTAGTTACATTAGCAATATTCATAAAGAAAATGCGAAGCAAGACTTTGATAATCGACCAAAATTCATTCATGTTTGCTTTATGTATCAAATTGTATTTTATTGGTAGTTTGACATTGATTTATAATTACTTGTCATTTAGTACAAAAAGGTTAAACGGATTTGTATAATAATTTAATTAACTTCACACCTAAACATTTCTAATGAAACACAAACAAAAGATACAATGTACAAATATTTATATAAATAATAGAATGTATAATCATCAAACAACAACAAAAGGCATATAGATAATTTAAACATTCAAGGATCAAAAGAGGGAATTCGATCCAAATCCCCATTATTCATTTGTTGCCACACGAATCTTCGAATAACACTTCTATATGGATCATCGTCACGTTTTTTAAACAAATAAGCCATATTCTTTTCCACATCACATTTTATCTGCAAATACAAATCTTGAATATAATCTTTGTCATCTAACATATTTTCCTTTCCTTTTGTTCGTATAGGCTTCCCAAACATAGCATACAGTCGACCTGGTAGCTTTGGTAAAAATATAGGAAAATGAAGCGGTTGTTTCGCAATCTCTCCTCCCATCCCCGCCCTATACATAAATAACAAAAAAATATAATATAAAATAAAATAAGATTTAGAAAACAAACATAATAGTAAATAAAAATTCACCTCAAGTTTGTTCTCCCTTGATTGAATTCATTCACCATTTGATCAAGGAAAGGGATCTTTTTCATTTCATTGTAATCAATGAGTAGCTGGAAAGAAAGTAAATTAACATCAATTATGATTAAAGATGAAATAAGTAATACTAAAAAAAAATATAGTTTGTGAAATTGTAAAGAGAATGATTTAGTTGTTTTGTTGTTGTTACTTCTGACATGTCATCTTCTCCAACAACTCCAAATGGAACAATGGTGGCTCCAAATTTCACTGCCATTCTTACAAATTCTTGTTTATCAGGCCAAAACAATTTGCAGCCTTCACCCTGTTCACCATTATTTTAAAAGTTTACAACGGAATGGAATCACAAAGGAGTGGAATGGAATTGGTGATTGATTACCTTACGATGGAGAGCCTCTCTAGCACCACCAGGATAAAGTAATGTATACGAATTTCTTGCTAATAATTTGAAGAAGTTTCTTCCAGAAACCGGAATTGCACCAAATAGTTTCATAATATCCGAATATGGAATCATGAGATATTCATATTTTTTATCAAATTCAAAAATCTGAGGGTGGGCTAAACCATGGATCATGGTTTTCTTTTCTCTTAAAAACTCTAAAACAATAGAAAAAACATCAACTCCCCATAACAAGTGATTTCCAACTATTAATACGGGTCCTTCATCTGGAACCCCTGAAAGACCTCTCACTATCTTTCCATCTTCCATTGTTGAAAACATTGATGCACCCATGTAAAGCCTATACCACCTACACTCAATCACATAATATTATGTTATATATAATATTTTTATTTCTTATAAATAATATTTGGTTTCTAGATTTATTAAATTACCAAGCTTCCATTGGTAAGGTTTTGAACTCTGTCATACTTGGAGGCAAAAAGTCTCTAAAAATATCAAACTTTGAAGAATGTCGATACAATTGAGTAGCTTTTATAGCCGATAACACATTAACACCATTTTCCTACAATGAAAGATTTTGATATTTGTTAAAACACAAAAAAAAAAAAAAAAAAACAATTTACATTTTATATTCCAACAAGATTGCAAATTTGTGTCCCACCCAAAACGGTGGGGACTTGCTTTTGATCTCTTTTCTGTGCAAAAGACGTGAATGCCCTACTTATTTTTATTACCAAATATACCCAAAAGGGGTAGTTTTGTCCACAAGAAAAGTGAAAAGAAAGATCTTAATATATATTCCAACAAGATTGCAAATGTTTGCCCCACCTAAAAAGGTAGGGATTTTGCTTTTGATCTCTTGTCTGTGCAAAAGACATGAATACCCTCCTCATTGTCATTACCAAATATACCCAAAAGGGGTAGTTTTGTCCACAAGAAAAGTGCAAAAAAAGATCTTAATTAATATATACCATTAATATTGTGTGCCCATTTTCCTCAAACACACGTATATCACAGTGTGGCAATAATCTTGAAAGCCTTTGGGCCTCATCTTTACTTGGTAAGAGGTTATCTTTTCCACTGAAATGCAAATATTTTATTATTATTAATAAAAAAATATAGTAACAAGAATTGAATTATGAAGTTACAAAAAATAATAAAAACCTGGCAAGAATTAGAACTTGAGCTTTAATAGTATGAAGACGAGAGTTAGCATATCCAGCAGCTGATTCAAGAAGCTTAATCCTCCAATCAAGAGTATCTCTTGGAATTATTGTGGTCATTGCCTATACGAAGCAAAATTCAAGGATGAAAGTGGAAGTTATTAGAAGGGCTTTTTGGTAAATTTTGTAAAGTTGAAGGTGGTGCTTACAGAAAGAAGTGGGATATCTTCAGTAAGATTGCCAATCAATTGCCCAAAAGAAGGCAAATGGTTTGGACCATTAGTGTTAACCATTGCCATCTTTACAAAATCACCTGAAAGAAAATTAATTGTAAAATAAATAAATAAATAAATGAGGATTATGATTTATCTTAATCAAATTCTAAGTTGCAAATACCTAAAAGGAAGCTTGTGAGATAAGGAAATGAGCCATAATGTTCAACAGGAAGAGTCTTCATGAACCCTACTAATGGATGCAGTGATGATCTCTCATAAGAAGTTGCTGAAATGAATAAAAAAAAAAAGTAAATTACACGAATGGTCCCTATGGTTTGGGGTAATTTGCACGTTTGGTCCCTAACTTACTTTTTTAACTCGAAAGGTCCTTACTGTTTGTTTTTTTACGTGTTTGGTCCCTTCTATTTGTTTTTGTTACGCGCTTGGTCCCCATCTTACCTAAAAAGACTATTATTTGATTAGGGAAAGATGATGGGATAGGTAGAGTAAGGTGAGTGGAGTACGGTTGGGAGTGTGTTTATTTAAATAAATTAAAAAATCAAGGGCAAAATAGTCTTTTTAGGTAAGACAGGGACCAAGCGTGTAACAAAAACAAACAGTAGGGACCTTCCGAGTTAAAAAATAAGTTAGGGACCAAACGTGCAAATTACCCTAAACCATAGGGACCATTCGTGTAATTACTCAAAAAAAAATACACGTATAAAATAAAAGAAATTGTGAAAAGAAACAAAAAGAATAATTAACCTGAGTTTGCTAGAATGAGTATTAAGTCAATTGTAGGGTTACGAGAAGCAACTGCAAGTGCTAATATTGCTCCAAAAGATTCTCCAAGCAAATAAATCGGTTTATTTGGGAACAAATTTTGTTCAATCTTTACACTTTCTTCCACAATTTTAATCAACCCTTTCATGCAAACACAAGGGTAAAACGGTCATTTACTCTCTCATTCGGTTCCATAAAGTTTTTTACATAATATAAATACACGAGAAGATGCAAACCTTCAAATGGTGTTCGATCATGAGAAGGAATATGCAAGCATTGAACATGGAAAACCCTGTCATTGTATAAAATTTTAAGCAAACATTTATATCTTCCTATTAAAGATTCTATAAAACAAAAGTTTATAAGAAAAAAAAAAATGTTCAAAGAGAAGATGAAGATTAACTCACTTTCCAAGAGCTTTCTCATGTACAACAAGGCCAGTTCCAGTTCCTTCCAACCCTACACATCCAATTAGGAAGTAAATAAATATAAGCATATCTTGCAGGGGTAAAACGGTAATTTGTGTAATTTTATACCAATTACCAGGCAAATACATAAGAACAGGAGAATCTTTTAGAGGTCTGTTACAGGCAACAGGGCAAAACCACCTAGGTGGCCCACCATCATTACTAGTTAAACGACTCAGATCAATGGCTATTTTAGTGTAATCTTTCATGGTTTGTGTTCCATAACCATCATCCCACAAAGGTTCTAACTTCTCAGGGGTATTTTGGGAACTCTTTTTTCCTCCATTTTCATAAGATGCTAGTGATACAACTGTATTCTTTCTGTTAACACAAGAAGCTCCATTGATCTTGACTATACTCCTAACAAGATCACGTGAATGCAGCCTATGGGTTTTGTCTTGAGACAAAAAGGGTGATGATGATGATGATGATGATGAGACACTTGAATTGCTCACAAGTAAGGACATTATGGAATACTTCCACAAGAAAATTGCGCCAAAAAATCAAAGTTAAGACTTATGATTCTATGATTCTGTGATTCTAGTAGTTTTAGGGATTTTAATACGTCGATATTTGTATAATTATGAATTCGGTAACAAGAAACCCTAACAAAAGGGTGCAAGTTACGTGTTTAATTGAGTTCGGGAACAAAATGAAATGTGCGTTTCGTGTATCATCCAATATGAATGACAGAGAGATTGAAAATCACATATGTAGGCGGGAAAAACGTACTCATATAAACAGAATCAAGGAACAAAGAAGAAAGGTTAAAAATTTCTTTTACCTGGATGATCGAATGGCGAATTTGAGGTCGCAGAGGATGGAGACTATCATTGCCGTTTGTTGGTATCTCCATTGCAGCCCAGCGAAGCTAAAAGCACAAGTTGGTACAGAAAACAAAGCTTCCAAAATCAGTCACAGGTGACAGGAGGTCAATTTTCGTCATAATATTTTCAAACTTTCGACTGATTTTGCAAGTGTTTATGGAACCCTACTGAAAGGGGGAATTCGATGCTTGCTCTTTTTTTCCATAATTGATATCTTTATGGTGGTTTGTCACTATGTTGATTTATCGATGGTAGATTATGAATTCATTTCCCCCCTTTTTTTCGTTCATAAAAGAAATGGTTTACAATCATCGGAATATTCTTCATTTTCTGTTTTCATGGCTATATGAGCAAAAGGGCAACAACTTTTACATACACATCCCCCACAGTGAAACAAAAGAAGATTACAACATACAAGTAAGTTACATTCATGGATCAAACGATGGAATTCGATCTAAATCCCCATATTTCATTTCCCACAGGAGCCTCTGAACAATACTTCTATATGGATCTCCCTCACGCTTCTTTAACAAATAAGTTACATTCTTTTCAACATCACATTTTATCTGCATGTATAATTCTTGCAGATAATCTTTGTCGTTTACTATATTTTCCTTTCCTTTTGTTTGTATAGGCTTCCCGAACATAAAGTAGAGTCGACCTGGTAGTTTTGGTAAAACTACAGGAGTATGAAAAGGTTGCTTAGCAATCTCTCCACTCATCCCCTCCCTCGTATCAAAGAAAATTGAAGGATTAGTATTCATCAAATTAATGAGTGAAGATAATCACAAAAATCATGATATTTCCAAATAAATAAATATATATACCTCAAGTTTATTCTCCCTTCATTGAATTCATTCATCAATTGGTCGAGGAAAGGGATTCTTTTCATGTCGTTGTAATCGATGATTAGCTGGAAACGAAGTACTTGACAATATTAAGTAGTGATGATTAACATGAAATAAGTTAACTTGATGATGAAATTGAAAGTTGGTTTGTTTGATTTCGAAGATCAAGTGACGTTGTAAAGAGTATGGAAGTGTGTTCTTACTTCTAATATGTCATCTTCCCCAACAAATCCTAATGGGATAATGGTGGCTCCAAACTTCACTGCCATTCTTACAAATTCTTGTTTTTCAGGCCAAAATAATTTGTAAGCTTCACCCTGTTAACAACAACGGAAAGTGAATTCTATATCCTTTGCATGCCAACATGGCACCTATGGCATCCTATAACGGTGAAGTTTAATTAATCCATTGAATTGAATGTAAATTAGACATGTCATATAAACTCTTCCATTAAACTATACAATATAAACTCTTCCATTAAACTATACATTATGAATGTTGTTGATATATATATATATATATATATATATATATATATATATATATATATATATATATATATATATATATATATATATATATATATATATATATATATATATATATATATATATATATATTAGACATGTCATATAAACTCTTCCATTAAACTATACATTATGAATGTTGTTGATATATATATATATATATATATATATATATATATATATATATATATATATATATATATATATATATATATATATTAAAAAAAAAGCTGACTCAACATATTTTTATGAAGACTGTACTCTTGTTCTTTTTATTAACTTTCTTTAAAATTCAGAATACTTGTAAAAAAAAAAAAAAAAAAGGAAACAAAAGGTCTGTGTTTAATAATCTAGAAAAATGCACGAAGCCTTTGCTCTCTTTTAATTTTTTTTTTCAAAACAACTTTTCTAGAATTTAAATAATCTACAAAAAAATGCCTATACAATATACAAAAAAAGTGTTTTATGAAGCGCGCCTGCTTAGAATCGAACTCAGCCCCTCTTTTATATTAAGTAACTTTGTTATTTTTTGCAAAATGAACAAAATATGTTAAGTAACGAATATAATTATATTAAGGCCCCAAACGTCGTGAAGCCCAAGGCAACCGCCCACCTTGCCCCCTTATAGGGTCGGGGCCTAATTATGAAGACCTAGGAAATGGCTCTTATTTTAGCAATATTCGGGCCATAGTACACAAATTTTCACCTTGAAGACAATGTAACTTTTTGGGATGGAAGTAATGATGACATTCTTGTAATTACCTTAGACTAAAAGATACCTAAGTGTGATATTTATCTCTATATATATAGAGATCTCTTGTAACAGATTATTCTCATTATATACAATAACACAATTATACGGCTCTTCATGGTATAAAGCCTAGGGTTTGCTAGTGCCACCTACCTTAAAAAAGATATACAAGGTTTATTGTTGCCTCCGGCACCAAACACCAAACAACCATGTTACTTCCGATTTAGTAGGCATGGACGACTCGGGCTTACCATGGAAATGACATTCTTCATGTTGGTGATGGTAAATTGGTAAGAGGTTCAATATCCTACATATCAATTACCTTTCGTTTATCAAACATCGACAACTACGACACGAAAATTATCCGAGTCTTATACGTGTTTAAACAAGTAAATTTGTGTTCAACCTATGTAAGATACGAAAAACGAATTTGAAAGTTGTGTTGACATGGAACACGAATTTGCAAAAGCCATAGTACTGCCATACATGAAAAAACGCATGTCGTGTTCGTGTCATGTACCAAACTGTCGAGTCTACTCTTTATTTACTCACGTACGGGCACCATTATATACATGTTGGTCTATGTCGACGACATCGTCATTACCGGAAGGCGAAAACAACAATGTTGCAATCAACAAGGTCATTCAACAACTCAACACGACCTTTGCTATCAAAGACTTAAACCCCTTGAGCTTCTTGTGGGGAATTAAAATTGTCTCCCAAGGCTCATATATCATTCTTTCCCAAAAGAAGGATATTTTGGAGCTTCTACAATGTACAATTGGCTGGCCTTTTTTACTCCAAAACAATGACCTCACCCATGACCATACCGAACCCAATTTCAACCAATGATGGTCTCACATTCTCTACCCCTGTCAAATTTATGTAGATCATTATTTCTCTTCAATATGTCACCCTCTCTCATATCGGCATCCTTATGGTCAACAAAGTGTGTTGGTTCATGCAACTCCTCTTTCTCTTACCGCCTTTACCGACTCCAAGATTTCTCTTTCTACAATGCAATTTGCAGATCCTTCTACATCCTTAGCTTATGGGGGCGTACATAGTTACCTTATTCATCCATAAGGCCGCGTACCTCATACCAGATCGTTGTGTACCGAATCGGGGTACGAATTCGTACCAAGTCGCTCTAGGAATGAAAGTTGAATCGAAATTTTAGCATAGCAAATCGATGATTGTCAATGGGTCGATCGATTGTCAATTCACGTGTGGGATGATTAATTTTGTGTACTGCCTCAATTGGAATCGCGATGGATGCCAATTTCAGTGTCGACTTTCACTTTGGCAGGAATTAATGAGACACTTAGAAAAAGTGGTGTCTTCGATCTCTAATAAATTCCTCTGTACCAAGCTATCAATATTATGGATTGAGAAAAAATGGTGTTTAGAAGAAATACCAATACTCCAGCAGATAGTGAAACACAAGCAACACCCACATCAGTGAAACACAACTAGATTATATTGATGCTGATGATGAAGTACAACAAACAAAACAAAGGTCAACAGCCCGTGAAGGAAAGGATGCAAGCAGACCACTTTTTGAAGAAGGTACATTCAATGGTGTAGGAAACAGTAAAAATGTTAGAGGTTCTAAACAGTGGGTTTGTAACCACTGTAAAGGCAAATTTACCAGATCCTACACCTGAATCCATATCCATTTTTTTTGACCTGTTGCAGGAAAACTATTGACATTAGAAGATGCCCAGTCATGGTTAGAGATTAACATAAGCGAGAAAGTATTAGGAAGAAGGTAACAGGAGCAGAAAACAGTGGAGTTGCAAAGTATTTTGAAGAATTTTGTTCTCTATTATGTGCTAACGGAAGCCCTTTCAATGTTTACGTAACCCACAATTCCTTGAAATGATTAGTGCCATCAAGAATGCAGCGTATGGATACAAACCCCCATCCGTAAAAAGCGAGAACTGTATTACTTGATGAACGTGTTAGGGACGTTGAAAAGGAGCTTGCACCAATTAAGGACATGTGGATTACACAAGGAGTCTTAATAGTTTCGGATTGGCGGTCTAATGTGAAACATAATCCACTTATCAATGTCCTTGCAGTTAATTTCCGTGGTGCAACGTTCATGTACGTTGAAGACTTATCGGGGGTTGAAAAATCAAGGGTAGAATTTTTAAAGTTTCTATTTGAAGCCATCGATAATATTGGACCAAATAATATATTATAAGTTGTAACCGATAACGCGGCTAATTGCAATGCTGCTGGGAGGGAGATCGAAAGGATACACAAACATATTTTTTGGCCCCCTTGTTGTGTGCGCACCTTAAATCTCATTTTTAAAGACTCGGTGAAGGAATTTTTTTGGCTAGCGGAGACATATTAGAGAAGAAAAAGTATTGTCAAGTTTTTTATTAACCACGCACATGCCATATCATTTTTTAGGGAAAACTCAACACTAAGTTATTAAAGGCTGCAAAAACTCGTTTTGCCTTACACTATATAGTTCTGAATAGATTAATGGAGTGTAGGGAGGCTCTTTCTACAACCATTGTTCTTAATTCTTGGCGGGAATGGGTCAAAAATAGGGACGAACCCACTCGAATAGTTGGGGGAAAAGTCATCGATACAATTAAAGATGACGAGTTTCGGGACGATGTTTAAAGTATATTGGATATTACAAAACCAATATTTTTGTTATTGAAATTTTGTGATGGTGAAGGTCCCAAAATGGGAGAGATTTATGAAAGAATGGACAGCATGCTAGGTGAAATCAAGGATGTCATGAGGGAAAATAAATACGCAAGTTATTACCCTCAAGTTGAAAAAATTGTTTGGATAGGTGGGAGAAGATGACAATCCCCCTTTATGTTTGGGATTTTCCTTAAATCCAAAATTCTATGATAAACGCTACCTAGCAAAATTGGCACCCGGTGGCATGACACGAAAAGCTTCCAACCAAGACAAAGAAATTGTACTTAGTGTTATGGAGGCATTTAATAGAATTACAGAGAGCGAAGAAGAAGCAAAAAATTTATGAAAACAATTCGTGAAATTTCATATAAAGAAATGAATTTACTCTATGACCTCAACTCAAATCGATGTCGTAACCACGGACAGGATTAATCGGTGGGCAACTTATGGATCAGAGACTCAAGAA